GACAAATATTCATGTTAAACTAAAACGTTAGGCATTTGGGGGAAAAAACAAAGTAATAAACATTATACAGATATCAAATAAATCAAACTGTTATTAAACTATAAATTTTCAAAGTCTCGATTCTGGATAAAATCCAGCATGAAGCTGGATGAGAAGCATGAATGAGGCTTAAGATCAACCCTCCTATATTCATGAAACCAAAGAAGTCCAATTGCCTTCTTTAAAAATCCATTTGATGTCATACTGAACAACTGTTGTATTTGATTCTAATTTGAATGATTCTGTTTCAGGTGGAAATGCTGTGTGATTCCTGTGTTCTGTGGCCCATGACCTGTGTCAGTCCGGTTCTGGATGTGGCCTTGCTGAGTTCTCTGTAGCAAGGTTTTCTGGCGCTTGTGGCCGTTCCAGAGTGCACCTGATCCTTGGCGGTCTAACACTTCACATCCCAGCACACGCACGAACACATGCTTGTTGATGTTTGTTGTTCATGATGTTTGTGGTTCACGGTTTACATGTTTATAGTTGTTCATCCCACATTTTCTTGATGACTCTTAGAAATGTTTCTTCACAGGTGCAGCTGCTGGTTGCTGTTTTTATTTTGGTTTCCTAGTTGTATTAATTTTTCCTCCTATTTACTTGTTTACACTCTATCAGCAGTCTTTATTCCAGATTGGTTCAGCATTTACATGCTGATGTGGCGATACACAACCCAAACCAATATTACTCAAGGGGAACCTCGTACACATTAAGGCTCCTCTTCATAGAGCAAATCTGTTCAGCACATTCTGACAGACAGACCACCATTCTTCTGTCATGTCATTATTAGTTTTTCTATTTAAAAATAGTATTTCATTTAAAGAGCAATACTTTCACGTTATCATTTTCCAACACTTTCTGTTTACCTGTATTTTGTTGTTTTTCAATAAAGAATGACAAATTATTTAAGTTTGGTTTGTGTTGCACACAAATATCTACAAAGCTAATGTTTGCATAACAAGTATGATTGGGTTTTGCAATACGGCACTCTGTTAATTTTAGTAAGATTTTTAAATCAAGTAAAGTTAGTAAAGAACACATTTCTATTGGCTGCTAAGAAACAGTTGGGATTTAAAATGGGCCTGTTGTACAACTAACTTGTAAATGATTATTCCTCACTTTGTAGTCTTAACCAAAGAAATTCCAGTAATTGAGCAAAAACATTTATTTTTTACACTACATTTTATTTAACAACAGGGCACAAAGTGACGACACATTGAAAAAAAAACGTAAAATATTAAAAGGTTGTCTCCGACGGTCTCTGCAGCTCTCTGGGCACCACGCCTCACGTAGCTGTCTCCAATGATCGAAATGGCTATGGAGAAAAAATAACAGGTTTGTCATAATTGTTTAAAGTACAAAACCATACATGAAGTGGTCAAGACAGGTATTTGGAACTTACACTTGCTGCGTGTGTAGCTGATGTTGGAGACACAGGCTGCCATGCTGACCTTTAAACAGATCTAAGAAAAAAATTTAATAAAAGAATGAAACTTAAAAACTCCCAGACCTCATGTCATATTTACTAATCAGCTATGGCTGATTTATTGTTTGGATCACAGTGAGTTACACTAATTCTAATATATTTTTTATTTCTATTACACTTACATACTTTTTAACTGTTATTTTCACATGACTGTTATCAGGCTCTCTTGTTCTGGTTCTCATGATAATTCCGTGTCTTCCAGTAAGTTATCTTGTGCTTATTTAATCTGTATAATGTCTCTTTACTTTTGGTGAATTGTACTGAGTCCAGAAGAAAGGCTAGTTGGCTGTACAAGATACAAACAAGTATTACGTTTTGGAAATATATGAAATGTATTTAGGCTGCTAATTTAGCTCGAATACTAATAACTGCCGTATTTTCCAGACTATAACTCACACTTTTTTACATAGTCTGGCCGGTCCTGCTACTTATACTCCGGAGCGACTTATATAACAAAATATGTAGGCTACACCGCGCTGCTGCGGGCCGACTCCGACCCAAGAATGACTTCCCCTGTCCCGCTGGGAGGGTTTTAAACACCGCCAGCATCTGTTGGAGCCTGTGGCGGGGTGCTGAGGGCCGGCTCCAGCCCAGGAATGAGCTCTCCTCGCCGGCCGGGAGGGTTTGAAACACCGCCATCCTCTCCTCTGCTGGCTGGAGACCATGGCGCGCTGTTGTTCATTCTGTTATGGTTACCGGTGCTTGTCTTGCAATGTGAAACGCTTGGTCTCAGATTTTGTAAGAAAAATAATAAAATGTCCCCCCAAAATACGACTTAAATATATTTTCTCTTCTTCATTATACATTTAATGGCTGGTGCGACTCAGGAGCGATAGCCCAGAAAATACGGTACTGACACTTGCTCAAAGCAAAATGTTTTCATTACGGAAATAAATGATAAACTTAACGATTTAATACTTTTTTAATCCAGGTACTTTTCACGAACAGGCACTGAATACCTCCACCTAAACTTCATGTTAGGTTCAGGTCCATGGGTGTTCCACAGTTAGCTCCGGTAGGGTTGAAGCTAGGTGGCTACATCCGTTAGCTCGGCTCCCACCTCCGCGTTAGCTTTGGGTTAGCCAGGGTTAGCTTCAGGTTAGCTCGTAGCTAGTTCGCTCGCGTGTCGTCACTCGATCCCAGCCTTACAGCCCCACCCTCAGCTCCTCCTCTCTTCCTTTTTATGGAATTGTCTGGCCTGGACGGTCAAAATGGCGGTGGTGGCCACCTCCCATTATAGACAAAAAACGTGTTATTGGAGCCTATGGAATCGAATTGTCCAGTATGTACAGTCTATGGGATGGACTCAATGGTGGCCGTGTAAAACTGCACCATCATCTGGGCCGGCAGCTTGGCCTTTTTCAACTGCCGCAGAAAGTACATCCTCTGCTGGGCCTTTTTGATCAGGGAGCTGATGGCCGGCTCCCACCTAAGGTCATGTGTGATGGTGGTTCCGAGGAAGCGGAAGGAGTCCACAGTGGTGACGGGGGTGTCCGTCAGGACGAGGGGGAGAGATGGGGCTGTTACTTTCCTGAAGTCCACAATCATCTCCACTGTCTTCTGAGCATTGAGTTCCAGGTTGTTGCTGCTGCACCAGTACACCACCCGTTCCACCTCCCTCCTGTAGGCAGACTCATCACCGTCAGAGATGAGCCCGATGAGGGTGGTGTCGTCCGCACACTTGATCAGTTTAACGGAGTCATGGCTCGAGGTGCAGCAGTTTGTGTACAGAGAGAAGAGCAGAGGAGAAAGTACACAGCCCTGTGGAGATCCTGTGCTAATTGTCTTAGTGGTGTTGTCAAGAATAAATTATTAGTTTAGGAAAAAGAATTAAATTCATTTTATAAACTATATACTGACTCTGTCTGAATTAATACGAAGTGTGTTTATGGTCCCTGGAGAAGCAAAGAACCCTCGAATCTTCTGATTAAACATTCAAAGATGAATCAGGTTGATATTTCATATTTATTTGGAATATCACATCTTATTGGTCATAATTAATATGTTTTAACTGCTACAGCATGGACAAGACACTATGGTGGGACACAAAGAGGCTACACTCACACCCAGGTCTCTTGTCTGTTTGAATGTAAACATGGTTGACACCTCGCAGCCCCCTGAGCCAAGCAGGCTTTTGATGACCAACACAGAGAAGAAGAACTCAGTGTGTTGAGATACAGAGGTGAATGAACCCTACCTTTGTGTCACCCTTGACTCCTCCACAACACTACTGATTACACTCTGCTGGAGGAGCAGCAAAAGCTCTACTCTGAGCCCCTCCCAGACATTTGGGATATATTGAGCATTTCATCTTAATAACAATAAACGGATGATAATTAACCATACAGAGGCAGTTAGAGCTAGCAGTGGCAATGGTAGATTTGGTCATGGAGAAGCCTTTTCATTACCTTACTATCATGTAACTCCTCTCCATCCAGTAGCACAGCACCATAAAGAAACATGAACATCGGAAATCTTAGATTTCTTTTTCAAAAACCTATTATATTGACATGAAGAAAATGAAGTTGGTAATAGACAAGTCTGTAGCGATGAAAACACATATCCCATGGGTTATTGCTTTTGCCCAATCCAAACTACTTGACAGGGATTGTTTAAAGGCTGATGTTAGCGTTAGTTGCACAAGGTTGCTTTTCTTCTTAGTAGATGTGATATTCACATTCAGGTGGTGCCATTTTAGGTGTGTTAACGTGTTTGACTTGTTACCTACCGCGTACACGATCTCTGTGGAACAATGTTGACATAAAACTTGAATTTATCCACCTGTCTATCACTGTTATTTATTTGAACAGGGAAGCCAAAGTCTTTCCAAATTGAAGACTGTAGTGATTTGGGAGGGTCTTTGAGCTTCGGCTTCTCGTTTGCTGATGCCACAATGCCATTTACCCCAATGTGCTCGTGCAGCTCCACTGTGCAGCCATCATGCATCACTCAATACAACGTCTGTGTGGAAACTTGCCTAGGAACTTTTTTTCTGCTGCACTTAAATTGTGCAAATAAAAATACATTATTTAATGAAAAAATACACCCAAACCGTACACAAGTGGACCAAACAGAACAGGCCAAACTGAAATGGTTGAACACATCCCCGTGAACCGTTACACCCCAAATGCCTACATTTCATCACAGTACAGACAGGGTAAGACTTCTATGGATTTCAAAAAATCACACATAATTTCTGGAAGGGGAGAAACTCTGGATTGTAGCTTTAAAGAATTAAAGGTATACACATTTCATTCAAAGAAAGGGACATTGTTTTTAGATTTAACCTGATACTTACCTTATGAAGTTTAAACAGCTATATTTCATACTAGGTTTTGTGTCTGATAAAAACTCATGACTTTATTTCCCAGAATGTCTCAGCTGGAGGTTGAGATCACCAGAGAGCACCATTAGAAAACATACCCTAATGTGTGACTTTATAAATTCTGTTGTGCTTCCGGTCAACAGCAGAACTGTCGTCCAGCCGGAGTTGACGTCAGCAGCATCTCACCTCTCCACGTTTCCAGCGAGCAGCCAGCGGCATACTCGCCAGCGGGCCGCCGAACTCTCCCTTCCCGTTCATTGGTAGCCTGGAGCGCCTATCAGGAGCAGTCGACTCCGGGACATTCCCTATCCGCGTGCTCCGTCGGAAGTGGTCGTCGCTTCGCTCTGCTCCATTGGACCTAACCGCTGTCGTTTGGGTTCCTTCACGTTGAGAACCGAACGCCTCTCCGGTTCTGTCTGCTGAGCCGCCTTCATATTGGCTGCTAGGAGCTGCGGCGATCACGGCAGGACTGGGGCCCCCACCATGACGAAATCCGGACTGTTGCGGCGTTCAAAGAACAATTTAGTTTTTAAATCACTTTGACCAGTGTTTTAGTAATTTATTTTAAACTGTCCGGAATGGTACCGTCCAGTATTAGCTTAAAGCTTTCATCCGACTCCTTGGTCCTCAAGAGGGATTTGTGCCTGACTTTTCTCAACAGCCATTTTTTGCAGACAAAGAGCCGTTGAGTAGGCTTTCAGGAGGCTACCGGGTCAGGTATGATCCCATAAAGCTACCTTTTAATTTTCTGTCATCTTATATCCTCATACTCGGAACTCTAAAGCTAGATAGCCTCGTTTTACTTTTATTTCTATATTTTGTGTCGATTTCTTTCACAAGCTAACTTGCTAACACTGCTAGCTACTTAGTTAGCTAAAGCTAACAAAAATGTGGAAAAAAATCCCTTTCTGGGGATGCTAAACGTTAGCATTTTTGACAGTTATGGCGCCTGGGTGGTGTTTTTATATTATCTTACCGCTGTTTAAGAGCATTTAAACTGTTTTTCTGCTCAATAATGTAAAAGTGAATGAAGTCACTGGAGTGTTGAGGCTGAATGCGAGCGTGTTCAACGTTATCGTCGGTGTGTCGCTACATTTAGCGCTGTTCTGGGACCGACTGCGGATCGTTAACGGGTTAGCAAGTCCGCTAACTTGGCAGGGACAAGGGAAATATGGGGCCTCCCAACAACCAGAAGGCCTCGCAACCAGCTCCTGGTGATAAATGAGTCTTCTTTTGACTTTAGTGGTTCGGTTACCTGCAGGGTAGCTGATCTGCATCGGGAGCTCACGGTGAAACCAGGACTGTTTTAGGTTATCACTATAACATTACTGCTGACTTTAGATTTTAACTTATGTGACGTTTAAAGATTCTATCCTGGTCTGGGCCACCTTTTGCATTCTGTGTCAAAAAGTTGGATTTAAGAACATTTGATTTCAAGCATGAACTCTTGTTTACCTTTAATCTAAACAATTCCCTACCAGTAAATAGTTTTTAGTTTGTTTGACAGAATGTGTTTAAACATTAAATGCAATCTATCAGATGATGTTTTAGTGGTGCTCATGTAAAAACGCTGTTTTATCAGGGTATTGCACAGCCTGCGTGGCTTTCTGCCATTTTCACATATCTTTAAGAATGTGAGGCACTGCAAATCTCTCATTAACTCGTGTCTGGTCGGAGCTGAAAAGGCATCCTCCCTGGATCTTGTCTTCTCTCCAACCCTCTCTTAGATCAGTGGGATCCCAGGAGAATGGGTGTGTTGGTCTGCCAGAGAACAGAAGTAAACTAGTTCAGTTTCAGGGTTTCTCAGTAAAGACCAACTGATATGTATTTTTTTAAGGCAGATGCTGATACAGATTTTTAACGAATTTTGTTGCAGATGACCGATATCTAAAGCCGATTATTAAGGCCGATATATTCGTACATTTTAGCAGCACATTGATTGTGAAAGAAATTGAACACTCGGTGTGCAATATAAATTAAATAAGTCAATAAATCTCTTAATATTTATTAAACTTCAAATACAGGGGTGGACATTAACTTCAAAACCAACCGGCCAGCCGGGCCGGTAACTCTGAATATTTACCGGCCCCGCCAAGAATCTACCAGCCCCGCTGGTCAGCTGCCAAAACGAGTCAAAATAACAACTGAACCGTTTTAAATGTAATAAACCTTTATTTTGTACACATTCACAAACATAATAACGTATTCAAGTTTGAATTTGTTTGTTCCCTCAACAAAACTCGATTTTGTCGTTGCATACTTCCGGCATACAACGCAGTACATCACCAACTCCGCTTTGCTGTACTCGAGCCATTGGCTGTGTTCGAGATGAGCCAGTTCTGCGCAGATTAGACCAGCGGTGATCGGCGAGCAGTGCATGCCGGTTAGATTTGTGTCCGACTTGACGCCGACTTGCTCTGACGTCATGCATACGTAGGCAACGATAACCTCGTGAGATCAAGGCGGCCGCAGATTTTGGAGCAAGGCGCTGCAGTTGCTCTCCCTCGGCTGCAAAACCTAGGGGATGACAGGAACCGCCTGGCTCTTACCTGATCTAAGATCTGATTGGTTCATATTTTGATCCAAACATCCGGTGGTAGAACATGAAATGTTAGTTGGTCACATGTATTCTGTAAATCATGTTATGTTGATGATGACAACTATATAGGCCATAAAGAGAAATGTGTTTTGTGTTCTTTTGTCATGTTTCCTATGAACACACTGAACCTACAGCTGATAACCGTCACTTATTATTACAGTCATGTCTTCATATACAATATATGATATCCACAAGTACATGAGGATGTGTTTCAGCTGCTAACAGGCACCACAATTAAAATTGAAAATTGAACAAGTGTGAACGGTAACGCGATATCTTCAGCCATCATCACCCCCGAGCTACACATGCAGGGAAATCTGTCCGACTTAAACGCCGGCTTTCAGCCACTCCCCATGCTGCTTCCGTCTGCTCTCGTCTGTTTTCCAGGCGAGACGCTGCTCAACTCGAACACGGCCATTCTCTGCGCCTCCCGTCTTCTTTAAACCGCCAAGAATCATTCCACCTACGCAGATGCTTCTCTGCTTCATACCGTTTCGAACTGTCTCGCTTCTCCTCACCAGTTTTAAAGCGTTTTGCCGGAGATTTCATCAAGAAATCCCATCCCTGTGGTGGCGCCATCTTCCTGCGTACTTGTGTGTTTCTAGCGTGGTTCCACTTTGTTTGTAATAGTGAACTTATAGTTCAAGTGACTATAACTAGAATCGTGCAGTACGTGCAGTGCGTGGCTAGAGGCGCACAGGTTCACGCGCAAACGCAAACGGTGGCTTCCTACAGGGCGCGGCCATGATGTAGGTAAAAGCTGGTGTGTAAATGACAAACAAGGCTTGGGCGCCACCCGGGCGGTAAGTCGTCAAGTATTTACCGCCCGACGAGAAAATTTAGCGCCATCGGCGCTCGGGTGCTTTAAAGGTCCGCCCCTGAAATATAAAACAAACTCAAAACATTGACAATGTGCAAATTGTTTCAGAACAATAGAAAATAAAACAGATTCATGTTTTTTTTTTTTTTTTTTTTTTTTTTTAGTGTTTAAAATCAAGAAAATCAAACAGTGAAAACGATGCTAAATAGTGGCTGGTAGAGATTTAATACAATTAAACTCAACAGAATAAATAGTTCAAAAAGCAACAAAATAAACTCAACTGTGTTTTGAGATCTATTATATAATTATCATTGTGATTATATTTATTTACTTAATATCTGCAGCAGCTCCTAGTGAGCAGAACCAAGTGTCATCACAAGCTGCTGATCTAGCATGATGCCCTTTATTGTTTTACGGGTTACAGACGAGTGTTGTGTTTGACTGTTGATGCTCTGTGTTTTTATTTCTGCAGCGAGCCTTACAAACTCACTTCACTCCACCCAGAGTTTCTTCTTTAAAACTCGTAATCAGTCAGTAAAAATCAACTGCTTTTAAATGTTTAACATTCAGAATCATTGTGCTGGTGAAGGTTCTCAGTCATCCAGGTCGTGGTAAACTGGACCAATCCAGTTGCCTTCATTTGAACCCTTTGGGACAGTCGGAATCAAAGTAAAAACAAATTGAAGAGCCTTACATTTACTCTTATCGCAAAGTCCATGTATACAGAGGTTTAAGTGCCTTACAGTGACACAATATCTGTGCAACATAGAGCTAAAATAATTACTTTCAATTAATAAAATGTTGTGGTTAAGGTTGTAAAATAATAAGCTGCAGGCAGACGTTTCTGCAGAAAAGAAACCATAAAAAACAAATGTTTCTTTCTGCAGACAGCCATGAGTTCTCTCCATTAACCCTGACCTATTTGTACATGGCAGGAACCGTTTTGTCAGTAAAATATCTGTGGCTTGGTAAAGCAAAATCTGTCATTTTAAACTGTGTTGTACAGGCAAAGAGACTAAAGCCTAGTTTATGCTTCTGTGTCAGCTCCACACGGGAGAGACGTACACTCTAGGGTTGTCACGGTAACCGGTATAGCGGTAAACCCCGGTAAAAGAAAGTTGACAATAATAATAACAGTCTTGTTTTTAAAAATATATATTATCTCGGTGGATTATCGTGGCTGCGGTATAGGCGCGATGACCCTTACCAGCCACCGTATCATTCGCTGAAGTTGCCGGCGGCACATGCGCACTTTGTTGTTTACAACCAAAACTTTCTTGAAGCTAAAGCTGAAATAATGGCCAAAGGAGGAGAAAGCAGTGCTCAGGACATTTATTATCCCTCAAAGAAGACAAAGTGGGAAGTACGGGCATTTTTTGGATATTTGAAGAATGCCGAGGGACAGTTGATAGAAGACGGCTATCCTTTTTGCAGCACGTGCAGAAAAAGTGTCTGTGAAAGGCAGCAACGCTTCAAATCTCATGACACATCTGCGTGACCATCACCCACAACTCTACAGTCAACGCAAAGCAAGCTAACGTTAGCGTTTTAGCTAAAATGCGTGATCCGAGGATTTGGGTTGAGGGAGAATGCAACGAGTCGCTATATAAAGCAGCCGCAGCGCCGCTTAGGGCTGCAACAAACGATTATTTGGATAATCGATTAATCGGATGGGGTCTCGACACGATTAATCGATTAATCGGATTACATGGGGACATTTTTAAAAACTGCTAGGGAAACGTTATTTCTCTCCTTCCTTCACTTTATTTAACACAAAATTATTAGAAAACAGTTCAATAGCAGAAAAACAACATGCCATCACCTAAATTGTCTTATAAGGTGTATAGACAGAGACCCTAAGCTACATCTATCTGTGACCTAAAATGCTTGGTCCAATTAAACAGCTTAAGGGCAATTCTCATCTGTTTTGTTTGATCTCATCTGTAGACATTTATTATAACTGGGGATGTCAAACAACTAATTTTTAAATGTAATTAAACATAGGCTGTGAATTAATCAAAATTGATCACTATTTCCAAAAATGACTGAAAAAATAAGTTGTCACACACTCCATGGAAACTTTCAGAGAATCCACAAATAGTGGCTTTCAAATAGGGCTGCAACAACGAATCGATAAATTCGATGACAATCGATTACTAAAAGCGTTGGCAACGAATTGCGTCATCGATTCGTTGTGTCGCACAACTTTTCCAAAAGCACCCCCCCCCCCCCTTCCCACCCGCCGTTGAGCGCAGACCAGAGCAAGTCAGATCAGCGCGAGGGAGAGCCGCAGATCAG